AATAAGCCAACTACATAGCGCCGACCACACAAGGCTATATCAGCAAGTAAAAAGGGATAATATTCTAGCTATGCCTACTGATACAGCCATAACCACATACAAATTTGAAAGAAATTTTTAAATATAAATACCAGCCCAATAATCCTGGAAACTGGGACATCCCGTACAGGCTGAACTCGTCTGGTACACAGATGGTTCAAAAACAAAAGAAGAAGCCGGTGCTGGAATCTATGGACCCAAGTCGAAATCAACGATTTAGCTGAATTTAGGAAAATATGCAACAGTGTTCCAGGCTGAGCTAATAGCCATTACAACACTGTGCAAGAGAAATATTAAATCAGCAAGTATCAGGCAAAACTATTGCCAGGCAGCTCTAAAGGCAATTCTGTCACCAGAAATCAAATCAATACTGGTGGAAGACTGTCTAGAAGACCTGACAGAGCTAAGTAGTCAAAATAAGGTGACCTTAGCCTGGGTTCCAGGCCATAAGGATATCAGGGCAACGAAAAGACCGACGAATTAGCCCGAGAAGGCTCAGATAAGACCATGACAGGCCCCGAACCCTTCTGTGGAGTTGCTAAGGCATTGTGCAAGGCATCCATTAAACAATGGATGCAAAAAGAGTCCCAGGAATGGTGTAACAACTATATAGGACTGAGACAGGCCAAACAGTTCATCAAGGAACCATCGGCAAAGACCTACTGGATCAAAAGCGTCAAATCGTTAGGATAACAGTAGGCCTTCTTACTGGACACTGTCGCCTCGAAAGGCACATAAGTGTTATAAATCCAGCAGAAGAAGCAACTTTGTGCAGGTTCTGTGAAGAAGAAGAGGAAACATCATTCCACGTCCTGTGCCAATGCAAAGGCCTGGCTGGAATGAGGTTTCTAACATTGGGCAAAGAAAATCCAATTGCATGCAACTACATGCGGGAGCCACTGTCAAAGCTACTAAGTCTAATAAAAAAGACCAGGCTAGACGACATACTCTAAAACACACAATAAATCTGAAAAGGTCGCGGTGGACAAGGAGAAATAACGTCCAACTCCTAATCTAATCTAATCTAAATCTAATCTAAATACCGCACTAGAAAAATTACTATGATCCAGTAACTAGAGTTTCATCGATTTGTTATACGATAGAGAAAAAAAATAAGCAAGTTGTCATGAAATGAAATCACTGCAAATAAGTCATCGACAAATTGACACAAATCTATAAATTACTGCTCACCGGAAAAACAATCTTAAATAACGAGACGATAAAGGTTTAACTCCGTTGCAGGTATTAAATTTAAAATGAGACATGTCCAGTGACGACGCAATAAAGGTCAAGATCCTTCGGCTTAAGTTAAAACGCAAAATGGCTTTTTCTCGAAAAAAAAAAAAACCCTCTAAATGGTTAAAAAACTTCATTTTTCAACTCAAATTACTGAAATCTACCCCTAACTAACGAGATAGTATAAATTAATGAAATTTGTATCCGCTTATCACTAAAAAAATCCCTGCAACAAATACCCTTAGTCGTCAGACAACGCTATAACGCAGCATTTAGCTAACAATTCACCTTAAATATTAAATAACAATAACAAATAACAATAATAGTATCAATTACAATCCAAACTATAATCGTTTTCAAAATAGAAATGTAAATACAAATATGGGTCAAACTTCACAAAATACTGCACAAGTAAATTTCAACAGAAGGTCCAATAGTTGTAGTAGAGCAGGTTTCTCGAGCACACAGGTCAATGTACAGGACATGCGAACAAGTACGAGTTCTGATATTGCTCATGATATAAACAGTCCTGGGTCTAGTTTCAACGATACTGGTACTCAGAATTTACACTAATGGATGGAGTAAAACGCAATCTGTATAATTACATCCATCCACGTGAATTTCTCAAAATTCGGGATAGCCTAGAACAAAAACAAAAAGTTAGTTTAGTTGTGATAAAAGCAAATAGTGTAAAGGTTTTAATTGACACGGGATCTGAGACATCATTAATAAGTGAAAATATTATGAATAAATTGAATCTAAATAATAAAGTTGCAAAAGTTCCTAAAATTAATCTATTTGGTAAAAATAAAAAAAAATTCAGTGAAGTGAACAAATCCATAATGATTAAGTTAAACAAGGAAAACAAGGACATTGAAGTACAACTTCTAGTGGTGAAAGACATGAAAGAGTATGATATTTTATTGGGGATAGATGAATTACAGAAAAACAATGCAGACATCAACTATGAGAACAAAACAGTGAATTTGAATGGGATAAAAATTGGATTTGAAGAAAATAATACAAGATTGGAAGAAAAAAACTCAAGTATGATTTTAAATAAAGAAAGTTGCAAAGAAGAAATGTTAGCAAAGAAAATGTATTGTATTTTTAATTAAAATAAAATGGTATTTGTAGAAGGAGAGAGAATAGAAAAAAATTAAGATAATTTAAATGGTAATTATGAAGATGGAAAAGAAGCAAATAATATAATAAACATTGAAAATTAGAAAGAGATGAAATTAGACTGTGGAAGAGAAAAGAAGGAAAAGATGCTGAAATTGTTGGAAAAGTACGAATAATTATTCAATAAAAAATCAAGAGTTGCCAAGAATTTTGTACATAGTTTGAAAGTAAAAAACATTAAAACGTTTAGAGGAAAAAGCTATCCGATCCCATACAAATATAACGACGAAATGCAAGAAGCTACAAGAAAATTACTAAAAGACAAGATTATAGAACATAGTACTATTCCATATATAAACCCAATTGTGATTATCAAGAAAAAAGATGGATACATCCGGATTTGCCTAGATGCAAGGGAATTAAATAAAAGATGCATACCGAAGTATAAAGCACCTCTAACCATAGAGGCAATTTTAGGAAGAATATCGCTGGCAAAAATTTTCACGAAAATGGATTTGAGACACAGTTTTTGCTTGATACCTCTAGACAAAGATAGAGATTACACAGACTTTATGATAGATGAAGTTGTGTACAGATTCAGAGTTGTACCTTTTGGAACGCAGTCTGCGATTTCAGCTTTACTAAGTTTTAAAAATATTCAATACATTACATTGACGATATACTAATATTCTCTGAAAATGAAGAAGAATACTAGAAACACATATAAACTATTTTATATGCGCTAGATGAAGCAGGTTTAAAGCTAAATATTACTAAATGCGAATTTTTCAAAGAAGAAGTGACCTATCTTGGTTACAAAATAGATATGGATGGTGTGAGCATGGATACTAATAGGATCAAAATTATTAAGGATTATAAGAGACCAACAAACCTAAAGACACTTAGAGGCCATTATAGCAAGTTTAAATTAAAACATACAAACCATTATAACACATTACAATATTTATCGACTATTCAGAGCCTATTACGAGTATTTTTAGAAGCCCATTTAAAGTCAATTAAAATCATATTTAAAGCGAATATAGAGCTATGCTATGAAGTCTATTTAGAATTAAAAGCATGTTAGGAGATCATCTTTATTTAGAGTTTATTTAGTCTAGATTTATCTAGAACTTATGTTTATTTAGATATCTTTTTTATTTGGAGTATCTATTTATTTACAGCCTATATTAATTTAAAACCTTTATTTATTTAAAGGCTATAATGATTTACAAATCTATACATCATTATAAAAACAATAAAGACTTATGTAATTTGAACTCGATATATTTTACTTGATATGATTACATATCTTTAGAAAGTAGTTTTCATATCAAATTACCTCAATATTATTATACTCGTACATTTGAAACGAATAGCAGATAACTTTAGCGCTTTATCCATTATAGTTTATAAATTGTTTTACCTGAAAACTAGGTAATAACAGAGAAGTGGTTACGTTGGCTACAATCCAAACATTTTATCCGCGTAATGGAAATATTATTCCAAAAGTTATACCGTAAACAAAAAGCGTGCTTTCCAGACCAATCTCTATTGAGTCGGTCACATAAATCATACCGAAATACATTTAAATATATATGATTTTCCACTAGAACGTTTTATGTTACTATAACCTAGAATTGTTTTGAAAATAATTAACTATAACGTTGTCCACTCAGTGTGCCAATTTGTCACTGTCTCCGTACTCATATACACTTGAATTAATGACAGTTTTTGTACAGTTGACCGCGACAGTTTGTCCTTTACCGATTTGTTTCCTTTTCGGGATTAGGCCAGTAGCGGATGATATTCAACCAACGACGCACAAAGGGGTATTTGAACAATTTACGCGGCCAAAATTATTTTTTGGTCTTTATCGATTCTAAACGATATTAATAAATAAAACAAATATAGAAAATATAGAAAAAAAAATATAGATATACAATATTATCTAACATTATTCGTTTAAATTTTCATCTTTCTGAAGAATTACCAGCTTTAAGCGGCTTTGCAGACATTTGTAAATTAATTGTTTCTGGCAAAAAGACTTTATTTTTCTTCTTTTAACGTTCCTAATGATATTTAAGAGGGGTCTGAACTTACAAGCAGGCGATTAAAAATATCCGTTATAATTCAAGAGTGTATTATATTAAATTGTTTGGGAGGAACCTAGTGTTTTCTTTTGATCCCAGACTATACAAAGGTTCACAGAGATCTGTCTAGTGTGATACCGTGGATCTTAAAAGGTTAGTACTTATTTTTAACGTAATTTTAGGCTACATTACCACTGAAATTGACTCTGGTGTATCTGTCTACACTGTTTCTGAGTTATCATTTATAAGGGGTTGCTAATTATCAGAGTTCAGTACAACGAAAGAGTTTGATCCTTATTCTGCAACAAAGAATCTGGCGCGATACAAATCCTACACCGCAGAAGGGCTAGTCGGTGTAACTGTTACCAGGATTGTTCCGATAATTGGTAATTTGTCTCTTTGGGGTAAGTAGTATAATATTTTTTGGGGTGAATAATTTTATTAAAAGAAAAAACGGTAACAATTTTCGCGCGAAGTCTTGGCGGTATGAGTGGAAATGCTTGTTACGTGCTTCCGCGGCTTCTTCAGACAGCTGTTCAATAGGCAACAATTCAGTTTTTATTATAACTGTACCATGAACAAGTATTTTGTGCATCGTTGGTGTTATTGGGTGCCAAGAGTATAGCTGCACATATAAGCGAGCAGCATTAAATGCGTATTTGTCATATTTTTTTGGATCAGTTATATGTCCGCTAGAAATCATTTCTAGTATGACCTTTAATTTATAAATTAGGTCATAACTGCCCATTATTTTGGAAGCCACTTTCGGGTCTTCAAAAAATTTTAGGCTCGTGTTTCCATCATTTGTGTTGCCAAAACCAGTTTCATTTCGAAATATTTTCTGAATTTCCAGATTTCTTTCTTTTTCAATATTTTTTCCGTTTCTGTTTTTCTCTCTGTATTTTTTCACTGGCAATTTATAAGCCAAAAAGACGAATCCTTGCATGTAGAACTAAAAGTCCAAACTCTGTAGCTTCATGATTAATCTGGTTTTTAAATTCAAATTGGATGAAGTCCTTAGAGGTTGCACCACCTATGTAACATTGGCTTGTGGATTTTGTACCAGTGGCAAGATTACAGACCTTTTCGTCTACCATTGTCATAATGAACACATGTTTAACCAAAAATTGTGTTTCATTCAAGTCCACCTCTATTGCATTTAGCGACTTAACAGATTTTTTCTCAAAAGTTATCTCTTCTTCTGTTATTTCAGTAGTCTCTTTAAAGAATCGGAATCTCATAGGTCGACAATACCAAGGAGAAGAGGGTGTTGGGTTTGCCCATACAATTTTTTTATCTTTATCATAAACCAATCGTAGAGAAACGAAACAGCTCGCGACTAAGTCGGCATCATTTTCAAATTTTTGTATGAACTAAGATTGCTGAGATCCATGGCAACCCCATTTACAAATTATCTTCAGGTTATCTCGTACTTGTTCTTTCAATGATATCAAAATCTCTTCTAGGAATATTGATAAGCGCATAACTGTAAGATCCACTAAAGGCTGTACATCACTCTCCGCACAGGTACTAGTTACTCTGCATACTAACAAAAAAAGTAACAATTATAAGTTAAATTAGGTTTCGACTGGAGCAAACAGATTTCGACTGAAGAGTCGTCTTGATGTAGGGTTGCCAGATTTACGAAAGTAAAAAGAGACAAAACATTAGGTTTAAATACCAAGTATTTTTATAATCAGGTTCATTATTTGTGAAATTTCTAAAAAAAAGGTCATCAGCTCGTATTTTCATATAAATCCAGTTCTTCCTTTTTTATTTACGGCTTTGAATATTATAAAACGTGGCAGTTGCATAAAAAAGAGTGGCATTTGCATAAAAATAGTGGCATTTGCATAACAGAGTAGAATTTTTCTCAAAAGCTGGACATTTTCGTACTGTGGCGTTGAGCGTACAAGCAAGTCAGAACGCGTGGAAAATACGCCTAAATTGTGACGTCTGGCAACCCTATCTTGTTGCCTAAAAGGAAGCTGTGGTGGTCGGTCTAAACAGTGTTAGTTTGCTTCTAAAATTTATCAAATTTTAACTGGTATGTACAAATAAAAAAATTTTAAACCTACTACAAAGTATTCTAAATCAACATACGATCTCTTCACGCATGTGCCAGCCCTTTAAACAAGAGAATTTAAATATTTATTAAATTCACTATCAGTAATAGCTATTCCCAAAAACCAAAAAACTTATATCTGGTCGTTTTATCAGTTAGCATTCTGAAATTTTATACGAATTTAAATTGTTAAAGCAGGCCATACACCATAAATTATCCCACTGAAATATTAAAACCTACTACAAAGTATTCTAAATCAACATACGATCTATTCACGCATGTGCCAGCCCTTTAAACAAGAGAATTTAAATATTTATTAAATTCACTATCAGTAATAGCTATTCCCAAAAACCAAAAAACTTATATCTGGTCGTTTTATCAGTTAGCATTTCTGAAATTTTATACGAATTTAAATTGTTAAAGCAGGCCATACACCATAAATTATCCCACTGAAAATGTCCCCAAGCCAAGATGTATCAAGCAGACAATTATTAGAGGAAATTGTGAAAAATCGTATTGAAATTAAGAACTTTATTGACGCATTAGAAGTTAGACAGTAGACAAAATTAAAGAAATAATTGAAAGAGTAAAAACGCTTATAGTACTCGTAGAATCGCAATCGACACGGAGTAATAAATCAAAATTTTATGGGAGTCTTATACCACAGACGGCTCAAACAAAATCTGTGATTTTAAACAACCGGCAGTTACAAGGTGTGGTAACGTTAAGATTTTTACTTGTGCCGCCCGGTTTTGTGGAACGTAACAATGGGCTACCCTTATTTTAATTCGGGAAATCTACGATTTTTTCGCAGTAGGATCTCCTTGCTTCTCTCTGTTTTTGTCTGACGATTTTTTTGTATTTTATGAGTGAGATTTGTGGTTTTTGCCTTTTTTAAGGATTTCCTAGCCATCTTCCTGAGATGATCCAATTCGTGACACTACCATGTAGAGATCTTGTAAATACTAATGATACGATTATATTTGGAGACTTCAACATGGAGTTTAGATCTGATGTGGGTATAGTCAACAAGTTCAAAAATACTATACAGGATTCGGGATTTAAACAAATTGTCAAAAAACCAACAAGAATATCAAAAACTTCGTCTTCCTTGATTGATTGGATAATAACAAATAATTTCTCGCTAATTGAACTTCCACGAGAATTTCCAGTAATGTCAGATCATGAATTAAAGGGATGGTGTATAGATCGGAAAAAGGAAATGACTTGTGTACGTAAAATAAATAAGGAAAAAATCAAGAAAATTACAGAGGATCTAATAGAAGCATCATGGGATACGACCTCAACAGATACCGATGTTTTATACAGGAACTTTATCAATAATACCACAAAGTCTATAGAAAAAATTGCCCCATTAGAAATAATGGTGAGTACTAGTAAACCATGGGTAAATAATAAAATATAACAAGCACAAAAAGTTCGTGATGAAGCATATAGGAAATTTACCATAACAAAAATTGAAGAAGATTGGAAATTATATAAAACTAAAAGAAATAAGGTAACGACCATAGTCAGACAAGAGAAGAAGACATATTTTGAGGACAAAATAGATAAATCTAAAAATGATGGAAAAGAAATGTGGAGAACTATAAAACAATTGCTAGGTCAAAATAAAAAAAAGTTAGATGTTGAAAAAATTATTTTTAGTGAACATAATAGTACTGTGGAAGAGAACTTTAATAATTTTTACAAAAACAGTATCCAGGAAATCGCAAACAGCATTGAAGATAAGAGGATTTCACCCATGGAGGACGTCAATATCAACAGTGAGTTTGGTGCTTTTAAAAAAATAAGTTTTAATCAATTAACAAAAATAGTGAACAATCTTAAAAATAAAAGTTCAGGTGACGCATGTTTAAGTATTGCACTATTGAAGGGGTTATTTTGTGTTATCAGGTACCCTCTTCTTAATCTGGTAAATACGGTCCTTGTAAAGGGTACGTTTCCCAGTGATTTAAAAGTTAGTGTAATTGTGCCAATAGCCAAAATATCATGTCCAACAAGACCAGAAGATTGTAGGCCTATAAATTTATTACCATCTGCTGATAAGATCATTGAAATTGTAGTAAGAGATCAGCTCAAGTCTTATTTTGAAGACAATAATATTTTGTATGAGGGACAGTCAGGGTTTAGAGACCAACATTCTTGTGAAACAGCTCTCCAATTTGTTTGTGCGAATTGGAGAAATGATATGAATGAAAATAATATTATTGTTAGTGTTTTTATTGACTTTAAAAGGGCTTTTGAAACAATAAATAGAAATTTTTTATTAAAAAAGTTGCAAAATTACGGTGTAAATTCGGTAGCATTAAATTTAATTAGGGAGTATTTGTCTAATAGGTATCATAAGACTAAAATAGGAAATAATATATCTAGTGAAACAGAAAGCCACTACGGGATACCGCAAGGAAGAGTGTTGGGTCTACTTTTATTTATTATTTATGTAAATGACATTCATAAACGATTAAAAAGATCATTTATTAGCCTTTTCGCGGACGACACGCTCATTTCAGTATCTGGTAGAGATTTACAGGAAATAATTCAAATATTAAATGAAGAATTGTCTATTTTGTATGACTGGCTGTGTGTAAATAAGCTTAAATTAAATACTGCAAAAACAAAATATATGATCCTAGGATCAAAAGCACAATGCAGACAACTTAATGCGCATGATCAAGTAGTAGAAATAGGTGGTGAACCATTTGAACAAGTACTGGAAATAAAATATTTAGGAGTCATTATTGACCAACAATTAACTTTTAATAATCATGCCAATTACTTATGTAAAAAATTAGGTAAAAAAATTGGTTTTTTTAGAAGGATTTCATGTAACTTGTCGCAATGGTCAAAATCTCTGATTTATAATACAATAATACGCCCACATTTTAATTATTGTAATGAATTACTATTATCAGCTACTAAAGAAAACATCAACAGATTGCAATTGTTACAAAATAAATGTTTAAGGATAATATTAAATTGTAATATTTACACTTCGGTCAGGGAAATGCATGAACAGCTGAATGTCTATACAGTTGAGCAAAGCATTAAAATGTCGAATTTAATACTAATATATAAGATGATACATCACAAAACTCCGAAATACCTTAGTACACTACTTGTAAAAAGATCTGAACTTCATTTACGTCCACTCAGTTCAATGGACAATTTTAATATTGATTTCACAAAAAAATCTTTTTTGATGGGCTCATTATTGCAGGAAGGGATTCGTCTTTTTAATGCGTTGCCTAAAAATATAAAAGATGCCCCAACTCTAGGTAGTTTTAAAAATATGATTAGTAATTATCTAGGTTTAGGTAACCTATAGTTTTAAGTTTAAATTGTAAATATTTGTTTATAACTAGCTGAAAGCTAAATAAAGAATTTACTTACTTACTTACTATGTGTTAGTCGTTTGATCGTGTTGGACCAGCCTCAAAGGACAGTATTTTTTTTATGAATTGTTTATTGTGCTTTGGATAATATTCGAGTACTTCTCTAAAGCATTGTTATTGGTTGGTGGTTCGGCCTCCATCTCTCTCAAAGCCTCTTGGAGAAGGTGGGCATAGGTTGCCCTGTCCGTCTTCCTAGGGTTTCGAGATAGCGTGGAGGTTGGCAACATCAAGTTTATTGTGAATGTTAACCAGCGGTTATCTGACATCGAAATGTTATCAGACACTTGCCAGTTTGTAATTGATTTATAGATACCAATTGTGGATAAAGTGATATCTATTAGTTTTTGACTGCGACAGTTTAAAAATGTTGATGTAGTACAAAGATTTTTGGTAATTATATAATCATAAAGTGACTTACCTCTAGCGTGATAAGCGTTTGAGTCGCAACTTATTACCAGTTCAGATTTCTGTTCCAGGCAGTAATCAATCAGATTCTGGATCTCTTTGATCTCTTTACTGGGTGGTGGAATGGTTGCGTCTGAGGGGAGGTATGCAGTTTCCAGGATTAATGTTCTCTTTTAATGGCATATTTCATCCTAATTGCAGTTAAATTGGAGGTAGAAAGGTGTACCATTGAGTGGGCTTTGTATTTCCTAGGAATGTAAATGGCTGTCCTAGGTTGTTGGTTGCTGGGAAAGCTAAAAATTGAACCATTTAGATTTTTAAAACCTAAAATTTTAGCTTCTATTATCCCGGGATCCTGGATGAGCGGTATTGTATCTTGCAGCTCATCAAGGTAACGGCATAATGTTGCTATATATACCCTTTTATGCTGCAAGTTACATTGTATAATCGTTAACTCTTTTATTGCTTTCCGGTCCTCCGTTGAAAATTGGGCCGCAAGGTGGTTATTTAATTAATCATTCCTTTATCCGAAAGTGGGGAGGGGGTAGTCTCTTGAGGCTCCTCGGAGTTTTCTGGCTGGAGGTAATCGATTGCCATTTTTTCTGGCTCAACCGTTGGCCCTAATTGGGGGGAAGCGGGTCCTTTACCAAGGAATCTTCACTGGGCCTCGCTTCAGCCTCTTTTTCGACCTTTGGTCTCATAGTCAATGAGGTAAACGCATAGCTCATCCCCATTGATTTGGCCTTTAGGGTTCCCATGTCTTCGACTACGATGCCGAAGACGAAGAGATGGCACTTAGGGTCTTTTTTGATTTCATGGTGGAAGGTGCACCACTTCGACACTTGCAAGTTTGGATTTTGTCCCTTAAGTCGTCTGAGCACATCCTCTTTCTCGTCAAGGTCAGCTTGGGCTTCCCCTGGGATCCAGAGATAGGCTTTGGTGAGCTTGGAGAGCTTGTCCATTCTTACAACTGCTGGTGTTGCTCGTTCCCATGTTTTTGAGGTTGGTACCTTGATTTTTAGCCATTCCAACGTCGGATCATCGTCACACGTCACTTTGATGATTTCACCAGAGTACGTCCAAGACCTGAATGTGGTTGGCTTGATTTTGCTGCAGGAGGCAGACAAAATTGTTTTGTCCACCTCTCCCATCAGTGTCTTTTTGACAAGAATTTCTCTTTCGGTAGTTATCTTACCGTAAGGGTTATCCTTGTCTATTATAGCTACTTTCAGGTGGCTCGTAGCTGCATTATTGTAGCTTATTCCAGACAGAACTTTGTGGTCCTGTCTGGGTTTTTTCCCTTCTGGGGCGTTACCTCGGAAGAGGTGTGAGATCGCGGCCTTTTCTTGTCCCTAGTTGCGCCGTGTTCCTGGCCTCTTGTGGAGGCAGAACGAGCATCGCTGCCTAAGGATTTAATTAAGCCGCTTTTGTTTAGTTTGAAGTGAGGGAGTTTGCTGAAGGTGGCGGTTGTCGTAGCACTGCCTACCTGCTTTTAAATCATACATTCATCCACTAGAAGTAATCCAGCGCAGGTTCTTAAAAATAATTTTTAATAAATCGCCTCGATGTTCATCAGATGATCTATATAATGAAAATGAAGTGGTCGATGTAAAGCAACTATATTACCTTAGAATGCCTTAAAATATCAGGACCCTAAACTCTTAATTAAATTACCTTAGCACGAACATGACACACGAAAAAAAACATTATACACTACCAAAAATGCAAAAATCCTCGTCAACATTCTTTATGATATATCGCTCAAAAAATATTTAACTGTCCCGGAAAACATTAAATTTAAAAGGCAGACAAATTTAAAAAAATCATGTAAAAAATTAATGTATAGTAAATTAAGACATTATTTTAAAGAAACAATTTAATTCTGTTTCTAGTCTTGAGTTTTGTATTTCTTCTTACTTGTTATTAATATTCACCAAAATTTAAATTAAAAAAAAAAAAAAAACAGAAAATGATAATTAATTAGGTTTAATTTATATTATATTTAGTTAGGTACATTTAAAATGTATTGGGTTTTATGGTTTCTATCTTTTTCATGGTTTTTATTTTTTTATGGTTTTTATCTTTTTTATCTATTTTGTATTTTTTGTCTCTGTTTTTTATCATATTATGTTTAATTTTAAACACATATATTACTAACTAAAACAGGTATTATTCACCTATCAGTTCATACTACTTGTTCACACTGTTTAGTTTGTAGACTTTGTAAATGTTATGAATAAATTATTATTATTATTATTATAATTATAATATTATTATTATATGGTTAATAATATGGTAAAAATTAAAATGATGTTAACATACCTTATGTTCTCATTCTTATTGTCATTATGCACCTCTTTATTTTAAATAAATCTTATTTACATGTTTTTGCTAGTGTTTAATTTAAAAAGTATCAACATCCAAAAAATTCGTCAAATCAAATAGTTTAAAAGAGGTATTAAATAAGTTCTATTAAGGCTTTCTTCGGAAGTTATTTCAAAACTTCTTCAGTAATTATATCAAAGCCAGGAACATTTTTAGCATCGTACTCTTCTGAAAATCTCGCAAACTACTATCAATAACTGGCCTAAAATCCTTCACCAAGCTCCCTCCGCAACATGGACCACACTCTCTCGAAGACCCAAATTTATGGGTTTTCGGACTTACCTAATAAAAACCATACAACAGCTCCGTGACCGCGAAAACAAAAAAAAAATCAATATGGCGGCGAGGAAGTTTTGCGTTGGGGTCTCTTGACTCCTTGCGATAGACCCAGCGGGGTTTGACGTAAAAACGGTTAAGAGGATCCCGAATAATATTAATGGATGACGTTTATTAATGTGCTACGAAAGCATTCGGTATGTGCGGCTGGAATTTTATTATTAAGATTATACGGAAACAGGTGAAGGTTTTTGTGATAACGCATATGTCATGGTAATTTCGAGAGAGCGTTTCATCGTTTAGATTAATGGACTTTTGAAAAATATCATTTCGATGTCTGTTTTTTACCGGGTGGTCAAATTAGAGATGTACAGTTTTCAGAAAAAATACTTGATTTTTATTTTGTTATGTCAAATGTGGACCAACGTTAAAAATCAACAAAAAATATCTTTTTTAAAATTTAATCTTCCTCGTTCTAAAACATAAGATACAGTACTATTTTCACATATGTTTCTTTCGAATTTCTTTCCATCCAAACTCTAAAAATCTATTTTAAGTGGACAGTATTTAAGCCGATAATGGTTAAAAAAATCTCCATTTGTCATAATATGTCATAAGAGATCTTAAAACATCTTTGAACATCTTAAAATGTCTTAAAACATCTTTAAAATCTTAGAACATCATGGATCCTTCAAGAAAATTTTGTAACATTAAAAAAACATTTCAAAAAATTGTAACACAATTATAAAACATCTTAAAACAAACATCTTAAAACAAACATCTTAAAACATCTTAAAACATCTTAAAACATCTTAGAACATATTAAAACATCTTAAAACATCTTAAAACATCTTAGAACATATTAAAACATCTTAAAACATCTTAAAACATCTTAAAACATCTTAAAACATCTTAAAAAATCTTAAAACATCTTAAAACATCTTAAAACATCTTAAAACATCTTAAAACATCTTAAAACATCTTAAAACATCTTAAAACATCTTAAAACATCTTAAAACATCTTAAAACATCTTAAAACATCTTAAAACATCTTAAAACATCTTAAAACATCTTAAAACATCTTAAAACATCTTAAAACATCTTAAAACATCTTAAAACATCTTAAAACATCTTAAAACATCTTAAAACATCTTAAAACATCTTAAAACATCTTAAAACATCTTAAAACATCTTAAAACATCTTAAAACATCTTAAAACATCTTAAAACATCTTAAAACATCTTAAAACATCTTAAAACATCTTAAAACATCTTAAAACATCTTAAAACATCTTAAAACATCTTAAAACATCTTAAAACATCTTAAAATATCTTAAAACATCTTAAAACATCTTAAAACATCTTAAAACATCTTAAAACATCTTAAAACATCTTAAAACATCCTAAAACATCCTAAAACATCTTAAAACATCTTAAAACATCTTAAAACATCTTAAAACATCTTTAAACATCTTAAAACATCTTAAAACATCTTTAAACATATTAAAACATCTTAAAACATCTTAAAACATCTTAAAACATCTTAAAACATCTTAAAACATCTTAAAACATCTTAAAACATCTTAAAACATCTTAAAACATCTTAAAACATCTTAAAACATCTTAAAACATCTTAAAACGTCTTAAAACATCTTAAAACATCTTAAAACATCTTAAAACATCTTAAAACATCTTAAAACATCTTAAAACATCTTAAAACATCTTAAAACATCTTAAAACATCTTAAAACATCTTAAAACATCTTTAAACATCTTAAAACCTCTTAAAACATCTTAAAACATCTTAAAACATCTTAAAACATCTTAAAACATCTTAAAACATCTTAAAACATCTTAAAACATCTTAAAACATCTTAAAACATCTTAAAACATCTTAAAACATCTTAAAACATCTTAAAACATCTTAAAACATCTTAAAACATCTTAAAACATCTTAAAACATCTTAAAACATCTTAAAACATCTTAAAACATTTTAAAACATCTTAAAACATCTTAAAACATCTTAAAACATCTTAAAACATCTTAAAACATCTTAAAACATCTTAAAACATCTTAAAACATCTTAAAACATCTTAAAACATCTTAAAACATCTTAAAACATCTTAAAACATCTTAAAACATCTTAAAACATCTTAAAACATCTTAAAACATCTTAAAACATCTTAAAACATCTTAAAACATCCTAAAACATCTTAAAACATCTTAAAACATCTTAAAACATCTTAAAACATCTTAAAACATCTTAAAACATCTTAAAACATCTTAAAACATCTTAAAACATCTTAAAACATCTTAAAACATCTTAAAACATCTTAAAACATTTTAAAACATTTTAAAACATCTTAAAACATCTTAAAACATCTTAAAACATCTTAAAACATCTTAAAACATCTTAAAACAGCTTAAAACATTTTAAAACATCTTAAAACATCTTAAAACATCTTAAAACATCCTAAAACATCTTAAAACATCTTAGAACATCTTAAAACATCTTAAAACATCTCAAAACATCCTAAAACATCTTAAAACATCTTAAAATGACTTGAAGTGATGTGGCAACTTAATTTTTTACAATAACTATGACCGTGTCAGTCTTCCTATACACCCATCTCGGGTTTAAATACAAAAATACAGAGTATAAAAAATGGTTAAGGAAATGATTCATTTAATATTGACGAACGTATTTAATAGATTTTAATACAAATAAATTTAATTTCAATTTATTTACTTTAAATTAATATACCCATGTTATTTTGTTTTCATTTAATCTAGGTCAATCTAATGAAAAATAATTCATTTTGATGGCAATAAATTTTAAAATTGTAATTATATTTTATTAATTTTATGGCCATAATTGATATGTAGAAATAATTGGTTAGTTATATTTTATTTATAATATATTAAAATTATGCATTTCGATAATCGTTACCAATAATTTATTTAGACGAGAGCTAAAGTTATTTTAGGGGTCAATAACTAACAATTAAACTCATTACATTAGAACAAGAAAGAAGTTCGTTCTGTAAATCATTCTTCTTATTTTCAGAAATCGGCAGTATAAACGAATCCACATCCTGTCTGGATCCATTACAGTGCTGTGCATTAAGAAAATATTCTTAATAATAAAATATAGATTATTTAATATTTTTTATAAATCCATATATCATTGTTACTATCCTTAGGTATATTTGATAACAAAAATGGGGGCTTTATATGTCTTAACCGGATAAAGCTCAGAGCAACGTCTTCCTCTCTTCTCTTTAATCAATATCTACTCCCCCGAAGGCCGAAAGAATAAAGTATTCTAGTGAAAAATGGAAACTAACGTTTCCCATTCAGTATTTCCTGATCTCTTTCCCCGTTATTCTCAATACACACAGAATTTCCTCTTCTTAAAAAGCAACAACTCCAAAATCACGTTCGCTCGCCCATCGATCAAATAGAGCACTCCGTCACATTCTCAGTGACAG